TATATATACAGAATAGGCCTATAGAATTACTATAACAATTTCGTTTTAAACATATTAATTGATATAACAATAAATAATAATAATAATAATAATAATAATTTTTATTATTAAAACATTCCACAACCTAAGTTAACCAACCCTAAATTCTTGAAGTAACATTATATATAGGTTGTACTCTTGTAACAGTATAAGCTTTCATTTAGTCCTACCTGTAAAATGGTTAAGTTAAGAGAAAATTTTGATAACGACGTCTTGTAATTTACTCGTCGAAGTTGCACGATCAATTGTCTGCTAGTGTATAATAGATTCGCTGAACAAGTCACCAACTCGTCTAGAGTATCATTAGGTTAGAAACGTTTGTGTCGGAGCTTTTATAATACATATTATTTCGTCAAACCAATCATCGCAAAGGTAAATATACCGTCTGAATGACCCCCGAAATTCACCCGGTACGTACGGGCGTTTACGTCCTGCCAATCACAGAATATCTGCCGATCACGATATCAGAGAAAGTAATTCATACGCTGGTCTGTCTTACTACCCCGGAGACACGTGGTGTCGTCTCGTCAACAAGAACTTTAGAAACTCATAAGATAGGGCAAAGTAATTATGAAAGGTAGGCCTAATAGTGAAGTTCGTGACAGGACAGTCCAAGGAAAGACACACTTAAGTCATCCGGGTTCAAATTGAGGGCACCCTTTGGTCGTGGCCGGCCGAGTGTATTCTTATACGATTAAACTTGTTACGTTTCTGTATCTGGGTGACGCGAGCGGTTTCGGATGAGATCACAAATAATTATGATGTCCACGTATACTCGTTGTTGACAAAGTTCCCTTCAGGAACCTTTTTGTATTAATAGATAGATTACCTCAACCAATTTAATTATAGTTGCTTAATGTGTTGTAGGCCTAAATACTGAAACACAATCTTGTTTTTTCTTTTAAATAATTCTGGGACTAAACCACATTGTTTTAAACACCGACGCAATATGACTAGGCCTATATCAATTTGTTGTCCAATCACTTAATCGACTTTATAATGTGAAATAAACACGTTTATGTTTTAATGGTAACGTTTGAAAACAAAGAAAAGGGGGAAAAGTAATATAAGTGAAAATACAATTTTCAAAATTGCACATGATAATGATATCAGCACTAAATAGATCCGGCACTAGTTTGAATATGAAAGCATAACGTCAAACCTATTAATATCATTTTTAAGCCTAATGATTATGATAAACATTATTATCTAACTATGATACGGGCTAATTTTAGTAATAAATGTCGAATGATAATGAGGTATAAGAGAAGTAGGAGAAATTTTCAAATGCATAAGGGGTCATTCACAATTGTCAACATATTCACAAGTGTACAAACAGTACGCTTGGGGGAGTGGGTAGACAAATGTGTACACTTTTATATATGCATTCAAAATAGCATGCAATATTTTAAATATTAGATTTTTATGGCCAATTATAATGCAATTATAGATATAATTATTGTTATGAACCTAGTACAGTACTTTAGTTTACCTCACAAAAAAGGGAGAACAGTTTTGCAAAATCAACATTTCTAATTTACACTTTCAGAGGGGAGGGAGGGGGTACGGGAAAAAACTGTTTTGCACACTTGCAAAAATATTTGTAATTGTGAACAACCCCTAAGATAGGCTTAAGCATGATCATTAACAATAATAGAAACCTTCAATAAAGCTACCGATAAGTTGATAACATCAATAACATGTGGGGACGGCTGGAAACAATATACAAATCTTTAATCCAAATGTTTATAGAGCAAGAATTTCATTTAAATTGGAAAACAGGATACGCGGTTGTGATTGTAGGGATATTTCCACGAAGGCTGTAATCATTTTCGGCAAATAATTATAACGTGGAAAAGAAACATGGAAGTCGGAGGCCCAGTATTCAAGGATATAGACACTATTCCTGGTAACTCATTCATTGATAGAACACGCCGCGTCCGGAATTTCCATATATGGTACTTGTTTAGGCTAATTAGCATACTTTAAATCCATTTCAGGCAACTGAATTAATTCAATCCATTCTTAATAGCCAGATTAATCGTTATTGTCTTTTTTTAACGGTTTTAATGTCTGCCAATGAAGTAAAGTCAGCGGTTGATATTAAGTTCAGGGTTAAGTCGCGTGTATTTGCACTTACAACCGGATTATATTCGCATATGCGGTCGTATCCAGGGCATATGCATGTAAGTTAAATACACATATAAAGATAAAGCCCTGGTGAATATTTAATTGCTGCAGGATTGGGGCTAAGCTTAGCCCCAATTCCCTTTTCCTGGCCGTTGTTTTTTATTAGGTTTGGTCTCTAGATAAGGCCTATATGCATTTTAATTTTCCAACTTCAAATTTGGCAGCTAAATTAATTTTTAAAATAAAAGCGTGCCAAATGTAATCTACATCTGCAGTTTTAATTGTCATTTTAATTTTCGTGGACAATATGTAATAATATTAAAATAATTTTGGACAATTTATAACGCGCCGCTATAGTCCATTTAAAAATACGCTTATGTCGCTCAGGAAAGTCAAATTATACATCAAGATAATGCCTCATTGGTCCCATTATTGTGGATCGCCTTCACTGCCAAATACTACAAACCGTGCCTAATCAAATTTGCCACATAATAAGCGTGCAAACGAAAAATTAGCAAAAATTCGACACAAAGTTAGATAATACATTTTATTTTAATTACGGGGCGAAAGAAGTTCGTAACACACATTGACAAGACACAAGCATGCCCTTCACTCCATGTTTGACTGGTCAAGGTCAACAATACGCAGCCTCGTGGCGCCTGAATATGGTCTCCCACACTTTCACCCTAGTCCCTCGGGTACAGCAATCCGTTACGCCATTTCAATTTTCATATCCGTTCTAGAAGATGATGTGTAGATAATTTTTTTGCTGTGTAACACAATATTTGACTAGTAAACACGTGACTAGACAGAAATACAGCATATATACTGTCTCTTATACACATCTAGATGTGTATAAGAGACAGGTGCATCCATTTGCAGTATATCATAATGTGGAAGGAGAACTGAAGTGCATAAGCGTCGACGTAGTTAGGTGGGTCTGCGACAAAAAAAAAACAACCACATTTTCAATATGATTTCAGTAAGAATAAAGACAAACGAGCAAGGAAATGTGATCCGAGCGTCATTGTACCTTTAAAAAAAGCTGCGAAAGAACGTCATGAGATACGATACCCAATGTCCCCGACTCCCACTCCCCGAACATGCTCACTGAAGGAAGCGCATTGCTCCTTTTTTCTGGATGCGCCCACTAAATGCCCGCTAAAAATGGAACATTTCACTTTAAACCATCGCTATGGTGTCAGCGGTCGCGTCAACATTTTCCCTGATGTGGTCCATCGTTCCCCGACATGGTGGTGCTGAGGATGAAAAAGCTTATGTCACCTCATGATCCCCCAAAAAAATCACACTCCCAAGTCGGTTGCCTGACCTAAACAATGACTATAGTTATTTTCCCCGGACGATAGATTTAACCCCTCGACTGCTGGGCCAAGTTTTCACCGACGGCTGGGTTCATGGGCGTCGATCGGTGGGGAACAGGGGGACACGTTCCCCATCCCATCACTTTTCAAAGCAGCAGTTTTGTCTATTCACTTCTCTGTTCCAAGTGCGGTGCGTATTTCCGGACCAATACTGAGTAAAAACGCAATTGTTTGTACATTTCGTAACCATATAAGTAACCACTCCATCGATTCTATGGGTGCAACGGTTATCAGGGGCTAAATTTATTATGAAAACAATGTACTGTACGTTGTTAAAAATTGAAAGCGTGTAAACCTATTAGGCCAACATTTTTACAAACTCGAAAGTGCACGATTTCTACTATACACGATTTATCTCTTTTGTATAATATTAAGACCCGTGTATACTAGTGTTATTATCTGCATACTTACATTCCTGTTTTTACTAATTAAAAAAATATATATAGTTAGTCAATGGAATTTTATACGGTATAGCCGTTATTAAACAATAATTATACAGCCTTTGACACGGATAGTTCTGTCTATTTTGACTTATTTAATTAGTGATACCGCAAGTGTACGAACTCAATTTCGCTATGACATGAGGATAATGTTAAATTATGTAAATCACCTTTTATGTTTGTGAAATAAAAATGCTAACTAATGTTTTGTGTGCTTTCTATCTTCTTAGTCCTGTTTGATCGTAGTATTTCCACTCACAATATTGTAGTCGCAATACTACTTGCACAAAAGTAAAATTAAAAAAGAGGAAAAACCTGATTGATTTTAAAAGTACTGTTCATGCATGGAGACTATAGAATTGGAATGACTGTTGTTTTATAATTGAAGGAACATGGTTTATCATTTGTTTTTCATGTTTCGAATACTGTACGTAACAAGCTAATCAGTAAATAATGAATAATTATATTTATGAATGTTACCTAGTTAGCACGAAATATGTAAGCGGGCATGCTTATGATTACCATGATAAATTGAAAAAAAATATATGATGAGTATTCAGTGGTAGATTCAAGGGCCGGCCCACAATCCCTAATTTTTTAAAATTGGAGTGGAGAAAACAGAAAATTATATTAAAAGTCTCATAAATTTTCTTACCTCAGCCCCCTCAGCATTCCCTAAAATTAATTAGATACGACTTATATAAGGCTATAGACGCCAGAAATTCCGGGGCTTCGCCCCTTGGACCCGCACCGCGGCCCTAGTTGGCTCCCTGTCCCTCAGCAAAGGTTTTGCCCTAGGCCCAAGACTTCCTTATTTTGAACTTCGTCCCCCCCCCCACCCACCTCTTTTCACAACGGATCGACGCCATTGACAGAGAGGCCCGGATCCCTGACCCACCCGCTGGCACCACCATGGGTATTGTACGACTTCTAAGTCCATCGAAACTACTTTTTCATCATTCTGCATAGGGTTTGTGGTTCTGCGATGGCACAGCGGTTTCGGCCATCCTGTGAAATCAACCGCTGAGGTTCGGCCTCAAGACCAAATCCGACGTAAAGTCACCCCTGGCCAAGATTTCTGGTAATTCAGCCACAGAGAGGCCGAACTCTATAGGGGCCTACTCAGGAGCAGAATTCACATGGAGAAAAAGTCCCTTTGACACCGTTACATGAAACATACATACCTTTGATTTGAAACCGTTCTGAATAGACCTATATTTTCCCCTTATTGATGATTCATAATACAGTATTTGATATAGGTCTAGTCTGCCTAACAATGACCTTTTGCTTCCACTTCAACGTTTTACGAATAATGTTATAAGCACACATTCTTTCGTGTTAACTGAGAAAACAATAGATTCGCTTCCATGGACCTGGATCGATCTGCTATGCCGTCATTATACGTGAGTGCATTACCCCACAATAAACATTTTTTTAACTGTGGCTAAATTGTCCCCGAAAACTACGACCAACACGCCAACTTCTTTCTCCTCGGGGACATCGTTAACCTCACCCTTCAAATTCTGGCGCCAGCCCTGTGCTAACTAAAAAAAATACCGACCTTGTTTTCGA